GCCAATGTGGGTGGATCACCTGAGGTCAGGAGTTTGAGACCAGACTGACCAATATAGTGAAACCTCATCTCTACTAAAAATACAGAATTAGCTGGGCGTGGTGGCGCATGCCTGTAATTCCAGCTCCGTAGGAGGCTGAGGCAGAAGAATCGCTTGAATTCAGGAGGTGGAGGTTGCAGTGAGTGAAGATGGTGCCATTGCACTCCAGCCTGGGCAACAAGAGCAAAACTCCATCTCAAAAATAAAAAAATAAAATAAAATAAATCCCTCCTATGTGTGTGTGCGTAATAGTGTTATTGAAAAGATACCGCCAGGTGCAATGGCTCACGCCTGGAATCCCAGTCCTTTGGGAGGCTGAGGTGGGTGGATCACTTGAGGTCAGGAATTTGAGACCGTCCTGGCCAACATGGTAAAACCCCATCTCTACCAAAAATACAAAAAAGTAGCTGGGCGTGGTGGTTGTGGGCTTCTGTCATCTCAGCTACCCTGGAGGCTGAGGCAGAAGAATTGCTTGAACGAGGGAGGCGGAGGTTGCAATGTGCTAAGATCACGCCACTGCATTCCAGCCTGGCTGACAGAGTGAGACTCTGTCTAAAAAAAAGAGAAAAGGAAGGAAGGAAGGAAGGGAGGGAGGGAGGCAGACAGGGAAAGGAGGGAAGGAGGGAGGGATACTTTTCTGTTACTTTTACTTTCTAAGTACACATACATAGCTGGGTATCTATGTGTATTTCACATGGTGAAAAGTGAATAAAGAGGCCTCTATGAAAGACTGACAAAAAGAGGACAAAAGAGATTTGGTTGGGTTGTCTCTTCCCTCTCTCTTCTGCCTTCAGCTGTGCTGTGATACCATCTTGCAACCATGAGAGAGAAGCCAAGAAAATTGGGACGCATTAGTCCTGCCATTGATGAACTGCTGAAATAACAGGAATCACCTACCTCTAGAATTCTTGGTAAGTGGATATAAACTTCTGTTTGTCTGTGCCACTGTGGGTCAGGATTCTGTTACTTGAAGCTGAATGCATTCTTAACTGATACAATAAATAAAATAGGCAAAATGAGAAGACTTGTTGTTCATAGCATATGTGTTTTTTAATGTGGGAAAATTATCCTAGAGATGCAAAGTCCTCCAGCTTTGAAATAAGAACCTGTATAGCAATTACTTAAATTAAATGCTTATTGCAATGGCCTTTTTAGTGTAACCTTTATTAAAAGCATAATTTGCTTAAATTCTTCACAACGCTTTAGATATCATTTACCTTTTTCACGTGTGAGCTAACTACAGCACAATGGGATAGGACCTGTTGTACAAATGATGGGATGCATTTTAATAGGGCTTTGAAAAGATTAAATGAGATCATCCATATGCAGAGTCTAGAACAGTACCTGGCACATAAAGTCCTCCATAAATGTTTGTTACTATTATTATTACTACCTTTGGGACAGAATCTCACTCTGTAACCAGGCTGGAGTGCAGTGGCATGATCTCAGCTCACTGCAACCTCTGCCTCCTGGAGGCAGATTCTCCTTGCCTCCCGATTCTTCTTGCCTCAGCCTCCTGAGTAGCTGGGACTACAGGTACTTGCCACCACACCTGACAAATTTTTAATATTTTTAGTAAAGACGAGGTTTCACCATGTTGGCCAGGATGGTCTCGAACTCCTGACCTCAGGTGATCTGCCCGCCTCAGACTCCCAAAGTGCTGGGATTACAGGTGTGAGCCACTGCACCTGGCCGTTAATTATATTTTAATAACAATTTTAAATAATGATGTTAGCTATTAATACTTGATGGCTGGCTTCTTCTCATCTTTCACATTCTCAGAAGAAAATGTACTACATCAGAGAGGCCCTCCCCAGCTATTCTATCTAAAGTGAAATCCCTCCTCAAATATCTCCGATTCCCCACTGCCCCGCATCCTGCTTATTGCTTCAGAGATTTTGTCACCATCTGTAATTCTTTTTATCATTTATTTAGTAAGTGTGTGTCTCCCTCGCTAGAACATGAATCCCACGAGAGCAGAATTCCCACTGGCTGGCATGGATCCCATAGTCTCTGTGTATTTATTGAGTGAAAAGATGACCAAAGCCATCCAAGAAAGCATGATAATAAGAGGATAATAAGCATGATAATAAGAGGTCTAGGTAGAAGGGGTATGCAGATGTGGCCATTTTGGGGGCATAATCTTGTGCACATTTAAGTAAAAGTGGAGGTAAATAAAAATTCTGTCCCTTTCTAGACCCTTCTCACACTGTGAAGGGCCCTGATGGTTTTTTATTATCATGTTCAATCTAAAAGGTCAATGAATAGTCATTTATAATATTTGGCTTATACATCTCTACAAACTGTGGTGAAATTGTTACCTTTAGAAAAATAGTTTGCTTTGCACTTTAATAGCGATTTGAACATCGGATTAAATTTTTTTCTTTTTTCTTTTTTTTTTTTTTTTTGAGATGGACTTGCTCCGTCGCCCAGGCTGGAGTGCAGTGGCACAATCTCGGCTCACCACAAGCTCCGCCTCCTGGGTTCACGCCATTCTCCTGCCTCAGCCTCCTGAGTAGCTTGGACTACAGGTGCCCGCCACCACACCTGGCCAAGTTTTTGTATTTTTAGTAGAGATGGAGTTTCACCGTGTTAGCCAGGATGGTCTCGATCTCCTGACCTCGTGATCTGCCCGCCTTGGCCTCCCAAAGTGCTGGGATTGCAGGCATTCCGATTAAAAAAAAATTTTTTTTTTAAATGGCTTCTTGTAATCAAAGATTTAGATGAAATTCTTTATTATGTTTTGTTTTTTGAAGATCCTAAAATGTAGATTTTAAAATAGCTGTAGAAGTTCTGCTTGGTCCCAGGGGCAAAGGGAAAAGGAAAACAAAACTGTTTTAAATAGCAGTGATGAGCCCTGACACAGGGAAGCAAGTCTCAAACACATCAGGGTGACTGGTGAGGGCAGAGCCCTGACCTGGTAGGGAGGCAGGAGTATGGCCAGTGCCACGGTCTGTGGGAAGAGGCCCCACCCAACTACCTGGGTGTGGAATCCCATGGTGACCTGCAGGATTTTCGATGGGGGTCACAGGTCATGGACTCCTGATAACTGACATCATGGGAAGAACACCAGGAGACCTTTTTCTCTTTTCTCCTGCATCTTCCAGGACAACAGTATCTTGTAGGGACCAAGCAGTGGGCTTTGGCTACTTGAGTTTGAAGCCCATCTTCCCTTCTCACTAGAGACCTCTCTCGGGGCCTCTCTGGGCCTCGTTTACTCACTGTCAAAATAGCAGCTGAACCTATCCCATTGGGTAATGGCTAGCACTAGTAGATACCTGATAACTGTGTCTTTTGTGGCCCTTCTTCTAGAAGATACCATGAAGTCTCTGTCAGTTATGACCAACAAGATGGGGCTCTGTGGTATCATTTTCCTGGGCATCTCTATGGCTTGGGAATTTTGTGTTTTCTAATTTTGATGGATATGTGGCTAGAGCTGTGACAATCTCATGTGGATTATGCTTAGACGGTTCCAGAATTTCTGTGCAAAAGGGGCATACAGGTGGCCATCTTGGAAGAGGAGCTAGGGGCTGGTCTTGTGGTTGCACTTGATAGCCACTGTCCAGGTTTTAGGTGTTTATTTGGGGTGCTTTGGAGGATTATGGGAACTTGTGGGCTAGTGTTTTGGTTATATTTGCATAGCAAGCCCCAATTTTTACTTGGATTGTATATTTATTTGGGGGGTTTTGAGGGCTTTGTACTAAAAACTGCATAGCAAGCACACGTGGACTGAATGTTGTGTGAAAAATTAGATGGAAATGCAGGTATTTGCTACTTTTCCACCCCCCTTGGGGCTCATTGCTCGCCTCTGGTGAGCTATATTGTATGATTAATTTGGGTGAGAGTAATTTGATCTGGAAACTAGAATAGGAAGTGGATTTGGGGCCTGGATTACAGAATGAACTTGAAGTCCCATTTGCCCAGCTTCAGAGGGCACCATCGTTGATGCTGGTCACTTCCTCCCACCCTTCCTGGGAGCCACCCAGGAAGTGACCACGTAAGTGACAACACCTTGGATAAGCCTAGGGGTGAAAGTCTAGGGAACCCACAGGACCTCAGAAATAAGCCACACTCCAACCCATTGAGTATTGACTCCCATCCCCACTCCCAATTATAGTGAATATTGTGAGTGATGGTCCACATATCCCGAGGTTTATTAGCTATTTGTATTTAAGTTGCATGCTTATATACTGTGCCCATTTTTCTGATGATATTGCTTATTAATTCATAAAAACTCTGCCTATTAAGTAAACCTTTTGTTAAATTTTTACCCAACCCAGGCCCTTCCCCCATTCAAATTTGAAGTGTGATTTTCATTTTTGTAGTCATCCCCAACCCCCTTAAGGCCTTTAGGTCTCAGGTTATGCTGCAGAGAGGCCCTTTATAAACCCAAGAGTTTAACTGTAAAATAGCCACTTTAAAAAGTACCTCTTTTATTTAGATGTATGTGATCAACTTGTCAAATTCATTTTGGTGTGTGCAATGAGGTAGGGATCCAGTCTAAATTTTCCCCAAATGGCTACACCATTTCTTGAATAACCCCATTGATTTGAAACACGGCGCTCCTATATTTCTCCACATCATTTAGTCCCTATCTTATAGCAAAAAATACACTACTTTTCTTAGGAAGCCTGGGTCAGCAGGCAAACTGTGTGATGATGTAATGGCATAAGTTGGCAGAATCTTTGGATAGGATGGCAGTGATCAAAATGTAGAGGTGACTGGGGCATAGTGGTCCACTATGGGGTAAAATTTTGGGAGATCAACAGGAGTGGACTTTTCCTATTGTCTGAAAATTATTTCAAGACACCTACATTTTACAGTCACCAGAAAACATACAGTGGTGAGATTTTATACCCACTTCACCTTGGGGCCTCCCAACTTTTGATGTAAGGGCCAAGTCAAACCATGAATGACAGGAATCTGCGCAGAACCACAAATAACTCACGGGAGTCCCATCATTCTTTGCTCACATTTAATTTTTATTTTGATTTTTTTTAATGCTGCACAACACAATATTTATTTCATTTGTTTCTTTTATTTCATTTTATTTGTTTGCTGCTGTTGTTTTATTTATTTTTATTGAAAGTCAGAGGGAACTTCTGTGGCCTTTTCTCCTTTTTCTGTAGGCCGCCTTAAGCTTTCTAAATTTGGAACATCTAAGCAAGCTGAAGGGAAAAGGGGGTTTCGCAAAATCACTTGGGGGAAGGGAAAGGTTGCTTTGTTAATCATGCCCTATGGTGGGTGATTAACTGCTTGTACAATTACGTTTCACTTTTAATTAATTGTGCTTAAGGCTTTAATTAAATTTGGGGGTTCCCTTCTTAGAGCAGCTCGTACTGACGAAGGTGCATGCGCTGAATGATGTCACGGCAGTCGTTGAACACACGGCGGATGTTCTCAGTGTCCACAGCGCAGGTGAAGTGAGGGTAGCAGTAGTGACGCCCATCTCCACTGGCAGTGCTGATCCTCTGTGGGTACAAACGCAGGGACTCGTCAGTGACACCCTCGCCAGGAACCACCCTATCACTGATGGGGACACCTACCAGGGACGGCTGTTGGCCAGTCTCTGATGTCATATGAAAACGAAAGCAAAAGGAGGGGTGCAAAGAACTCAAATCCACACTGGATGTGCGTGAACTAAAACCATGGACCTGGGTAGCTGAACCCCTGAAGTAAATTTACATCCATGAGAAAAAGAGGAGGAGCAAGAGAGGAAACTAAAGACAGGCTCAACTCACCAGAAACTCATCTCGAATGAAGTACTTGGCCCGGGTCACGCGTGGGTCCTCTCCGGGCTCGGGAGTAGCTATAAAAAAAGGGAATATATATTAATGTATTAAAAAGTCAAGCAGAGCTGGGGTGCTAGCATCATTGTAGCTCCTGAAGTCTTCAAAACCCTGCTTTTTCCATATGAGAATTAATGCAAGTGTGTTTTTCCTGCTTCTCTTACAGATCCTTTATGGTTTGGTGGTGGGAGGGGGATGGCGGCTTTCAGCCCGACTGTTTGAAAAAGAACCACTGCAATGAACAGCCAGCAAAAGAGTGGAAGCCATACACACCATCCTCAGGAGTAGTGTAGCGAGCAAATTCTGGAAAGTAGTCCTCAATCTTCGATTTCCCAGCAAGGACTTTCTCAGCGAGCAGATCTTGCTTGTTGAGGAACAGAATCACAGAGATGGTGCGCAGCCATCTACAAGAAGGGAGGCCGTGTGAATGCCCGGGAGAAGCGCGCTTTTGGCCAGGGGTCTGGAATGCTTGCACAGGGTTCTTTTCTACAAACAGTGCAGACCAGGGCCTCCTGGGCAAGCGCAGGGGGTGGGCGGTCACTCCACAAACCTGTTGTTCCAGATGCTCTTGAAGAGGTTCAGAGCCTCCTGCAGGCGGTTGGTCTGGTTGTCCTCCCGGATGACCATGTTGTAGCTGCTGCTGGCCACCACGAAGATGATGGCAGTCACATCTTAACCAAAGAAAGCAAAGCCAAGAGCGTGAGCAGCGACACTGATCCCTAACAACACAGAAGCAAAGCATTCTTCACGAACAGCCAAGCCCACAGCGTCCTACCGTTGAAGCACTGGATCCACTTGCGGCGTTCATCACGCTGGCCACCCACGTCAAACATGCTGGTGGAGAGGAAGACAGCTGGTTATTCCAGAGGGGCTGGGGTAAATGTCAAGAAACCATGATCTCTGTTATATAAAAAGGTAACAGTGGGCTTACTGGAAGTTGACTTTGTCCACCTGGAACTTGGTCTCGAAGATTCCAGAAGTCAGGACACGGCAGCGAAGCAGGTCCTAGAACAAAATTGAGGTCAATGGATCTCAGCAAAGCCAATCGAAATAGTAATAATTTCCAATCTAAAGCAAAAGTCTGGGGTAGTTTGGGAAGAGGGCTCAGGGTCCTCTGGTGGTGAAGGGTTTTGCACACCTGGTCGCTCGGCACATAGTCAGCCTGCTTGATCACATCGATCTTGTCCAGGAAGCTGGGAGAAAAAGAAAGGCACATGGGGTGTTCACAGCGTTCACATTAATTTGCCAACTATTTGTGTCTCTCTACAAGGTCAGGCTCAACGGAAGTGACCGTCCCACAGTTATGCAGCACTAAGTCAATGGCACATTTGCTTGTGTGTTGGTTACATTTATAACTCAAAGCTGATGCCTTAAGAAAGGCCAAATGGGATTTAAGATAAATAATTTTAGGAATCAGGGAACTCTAGATGCGTCTAGCAGCTAGCCTGCGGCCTCGGTGCAGTGGGGCCACACAAACAGCACAGGACAGTGGTGGGGCTTTGTTCTTCATGTTTATTTTTTTCTATTTTTCTTTTTTATTCTTTACTTAGCTTGTTTATTCCTGTTGCTCTCTGGTAATATTCTTGATTTTTAAAAGGTTTTATGCATATCAACCAGTAGAGAAAGGACCCCAAAACCAGGCTGACCTATCATAATCTGTACCATTTGGTAATGCTTGACAAAAACATTTTAATTTTCAAATTTCCTGCCTAAAATGGCAAACAGTTTGAAAACTGTATACCTCTGTATCATTCAGTTAAATAAATAAATAAATAAAGTGACATTCTTAAAATCATCAAGGACTTTCTCCTCAAGGGCACATGAGATTGTTTTAGTTACTGAGAATCTGTATCCCTTCCTTTTCACTTTTTAAGAATCTCATTGATTAAAGGGAACAAAAGAGGTTGGCACAAAGGGGCCTTCTCGCCCTAGCCATCCTGAACAGGAAACAAACACAAAGTTCTCTTCCGTTCTGTTTGGTCCATGAAATAGAACGCTCCAGATATTAAACTTTTCATTTAAAAAGCATCTTGTTTGTGTTGCTTGACTAGACACACAGGAAAATTTACTTTTGAAAGATTGGGGTAATTAATACAGAAAATGCTAAAACCAGTTTATTTTTTGGAGGGAGAGGCATGTAGAGATTGGAATTGTTTTAAAGTGGGCTAATGAGAAAAGAAAATCATAAAGAGAGAAAAGTCTGTTTCAAGAAACTGCCTAAGTTTTGTGTTCCCCTCTTCCTTTTTACTAGTTCAGAGTTAGTCTGGCTTAGAGGATATACTAACTTGCCCAATCAATCTTACATTACAGCACCAGTCCAGAAATAGCTCCCCAGCCGCCCTGGCCTCCAGCATGTTACCATGGCAACAGAACCACAGTTCTATAAATAGATCATCAGCACCAAATCTTGTGAGAGAGACATCTGGAGTGGAGCCAGCCAAACCCCAGCTCAACAAATAAAAATAGGCAGCTTAAGAAATGGGCACGGTACCAGTATCCCAACTTTAACATAAAGGCAGTTCAACAGAAACGTGCCGGCCACGGCAGATGCAGGGCTGTTTGAGCCAGCGGTGAGGGAGGACATTTTAAAGGTTTTAAGCTGCGTTGTTCTCTTTTTCTCTGAGTTTCCTTACAACTTTTCATGATCTATACAAATGGTGCAGTTTTCAGACAAAGTTTCAGGAGTAATTGAGTGTTGCATTAAAAAACCCCAAAAACTTCTAAATGATTTGAGAGAGAAAATGAAACCCAACAAACTTCAACCACCTGGCTAAGCTACTGTTAATTAATGCAGCTGTGACTCCCTGCCCCCCAGCATTCAAAACTGGGATGGTTAAACTCTCCTAATCTTGTACCTGTACTGCACTTCTGACTTGGATCCAAAATACAAAATGCAAACAATTCCAGGATTTCCATTTGTTTTGCGTTACTATAATTAGCGCTTCCAGCTTTTAGTTCGAACTTTTGAGAAAATCAGGGACTTTGTTGAAGAAGGAGTGGGGGCTGGGGGCCACAGGGACCAGCCAAGATGGACTGTTTTTCTGTTCCTTGAAAAAATATACAAATTTGCTTGTATATTAAACCGTGGAATATCTGTGTATGTGGCAACTGAAAATAATCAAAGGAATTTCCTATGGGAAGGCAGGGCTGGGGTTGATAGATTGCACAGACCCTAACATAGGCTTATATGATTTATAGATAAACAGTATTACCTCTTCCTCCCTCCTGTTTATTCAGGTGGTTTTCACAATCAGTTCCTTGGGCTTGAGGCTACTAAGTAAAGCAATCTTAGCCCTTGGTGAGTCAGCCTGGCACCTTGGTTCTGATTAGTTAATACTTCCTATAGCAAAATCAGTTCCGAGTTTCAGCTACTTGTAATAAGGACAGCTAAAACATCAAACCTCTACTAGACTCCCCTGTCCCGAGTCACAAGACACTCCTACTTCATAATATTAACTGAGACTGCTTTGTGCATTTGTGCAGCATCAACAAACAAAAGATATCTTTACATTTTTGGCTGGGCGCGGTGGCTCACGCCTCTAATTCCAGCACTTTGGGGGGCCAAGGCAGGCAGATCACAAGGTCAGGAGTTCAAGACCAGCCTGGCCAATATGGTGAAACCCCATCTCTACTAAAAATACAAAAATGAGCTGGGTGTGGTGGCGGGCACCTGTAGTCCCAGCTACTCAGGAGGCTGAGGCAGGAGAATCACTTGAACCCAGGAGGCAGAGGTTGCAGTGAGCCAAGACTGCACCACTGCACTCCAGCCTGGGCAACAGAGTGAGACTCCATCTAAATAATAATAATAATAATTATCTTTACATATTTTTTAAATAACCCTGACCACCATATGCTTGCTATATCATGTGCAAGATGAGGGAGGCCATAAACTATTTAAAAGGCAACTTTCTAGCTATGGGGTGTGATGTCCTCTGGGAGAGACCATGGTGGGTGACAGGGACAGAAGGCAATCCCTGAGGGAACGGTAAGTCAGGTGTTAGGCAACAAGAGTAGCAGCGTGGGCATCAGGTGGAGTTGTGCAATAAAATCTGTTTCGTAAGTTTCCCCCTTCTTCATTTACCAACACACTAATCAGGCGAGCCCACCTTTATGAGTGACTTTGGAGAAAGAGGACTTTCCCATTGCTACTGCAGGCCTTAACCCATCCTCCTTGCAGGTAGTAATTTATTTGAAAATGACCCCACCACGGTACTGTACTGCTTAGGTGTACAGTTTAGGATTTAAAATACACTGACCACTTACCATCCTTGAAATCAAGAGCCGGGGGGAAGGAATAAATAAGGACATGAAATAGAGTTCAAAAGTCAAGACAACACAAAAGCAAACTCTACCTAGAGTCACTCAGATCTAGTAACACTAGGCACCTACTGGAGTCTCTTACCTGAGAGCAGAAATAGAGCAATCAACAACTACCAACGAGAGAGGAGGCGTAGCTGTCTTCACTGTTCCTCTTTGTTATGTTTTAAAATTACAGCAATAAAATGTAGTATTTTTACATTATTCAAAAGGTGAGAACTGCCCTATTTCTGTAAATGCTTTGGGTCAATTCAATTAATTACTTCCCAGTAATTAGGAATACTATGAAACTCATCATCATCTTGCTCTAACAGACATTCAATGTTTATATAAAATAATGTCCCTGCACTAAAAAAAAAAAAAAAAAAATGCAATTAAGGACTTTATAAAACAATTCAATCAGATTCGAACTTTCTGCCAGTGGGGTAACTGGCTGGCTTCTACGAAAGGAATCATCGACAAGTGCAATTAAGGACTTGATAAAACAATTCAATCAGATTCGAACTTTCTGCCAGTGGGGTAACTGGCTGGCTTCTACGAAAGGAATCATCGACAAGTAGCTTTCCAAGTAGGATCACAGGTTTGCATGTTTTCTTGTGTCTGCCTGCTTTATGTGCCGGTGGGTCGGGTGGGGTTACTTACTACTGGGCGCAGTCAATCAGCTGGTACTCGTTGGAGCGTTCATAGCAGGCACGTACTCCTTCGTCCTCCCACAGAGCCTTGGCATGCTCGTAGAATTCCTGAAAGTGAACACAAGAAAGTTTAGAGAAAGACAAGAACTTGAACTAATCAAGGACACTGTCATTCGAACCCCGAGACCAGAGTTCCCTATGTGACCGACACTTGGTGTGATTCTGAATTTTGAGCCCAATTAATGAATTAATGCTCACAAAGAACTTTAATTCAACATGTTAAACATATTCAAAAGTTCATGCAATTAGCTGCTGGTCTTATTGTGAATTACTGGTTTTGGGTAGTTTCTTTTTGTGTGTGGGGGGGGAATGGGGGGAGCTACTGAGTAATTTAGTTTCTTTACAGAATTGTTTAGGAAGAATATACACTAATCTGTGTTAGGCGAATATGCCAATAAATGGTTCAATGTTGTGAAAATAAGAAACTTCATTTGTAGGATGTGCCGGGACTAAATCTTCCTTCTGGGAAAATGTGAATCTTAACAAAAAAAAGTATGATAGGGGACTTGTAGGTGGGAACATAAAAGTTCAGATGTTAGTAGGACTAATAAAAGGTTATTGTTCGGATACATTTTTAATAGGCTGCTGTTTTTCCTATTAAATATGGAATCATAAGAAAGTCAGTGGGTTATATTATACACACTGTGTTTACTGCTTTAATTTTTTCAAAATGATGCTATTTAAAAAAATTTAGCTATCCATACTAACTAAATACTACTAATTTCTCTGCTAATGTAAGTTTGCAGCCAAGTCGATCTAAAATATACAAACACAAATTCCCACGAAAGCCTGACAAAAGGCAACAATAACTCATTGTTTTAGCTGTAGACAAGTCTCTTCCTTGTGGGCCTTACAAACGCATACATCTTTCTATCTCATTTCCCATTCCCCGCTTATAAGCCATTCTCCCCACGAAGGGGCCTAAACATATATGCTTGGGCTTGAATGGTTTTTTGTTCCCTAAAAGTAGTTCTTTAGGGAGCCAACAGTGTCGTGCATCCAGAGGAAAGTCTTTTCCATATGTTCTATTTCATGATTATTTTTGAGTTATAATTTAGATATATTTCATTTTTTTAAATAATGAGAAAAGATTTCATTTGCCCCGAGACAAGGACTGACTTTAGAAAAACTCTTAATCAATGTTAAAAGGTCACCTGTTTAAAATGAGAATGTCTTCCATTTGGCACTTCACTGAGGCATCCCAAGGTACACCTTAGGGCACTTCCAGTGGAGTAAATGGACAATTAGTATTTGTGTGCCATATTTAAAATAGTTTTGTTTGTCCTAAGAAGTGAATGAGGGAATAATTAAGCCTGCCGTAGCTCAGAACTTTTTTCTTGCCCACATGCAGGGCCGTCACTGACGTTCCTATAGGAACACTGTGCTCAGGTGGGCGGGGCTAAGGCCACACAAGTTGGGGTGTAGCTTACGGGAGGGAAGTCAAAGTCAGGCACGTTCATCACACTCAGAATGTAGTCCACTCTGAACTGGTTCTCGGGGTTGGCCAGCTCCACGGGGGGCACCAGGTTGCTCATGGCGGCCACAATGGTCTGAAAATGATTTAGCAGAGCGGTCAGGGAACAGCACTGGATGGGAGGGGCTACAAGACAGAAAGCACAAGGAGCCAGAACGTACTTCGATTGCCTCTTTCAGGTTGTTTTTGATGTCCTGCACTTTGGTTGCCTTCTCACTGCAGTGGAATTGAAAAGAAAAGAAAATCATATTGCACCACGTCAGTTAAGAGTACTGCTTTCATAAAGATATCCCGACTAAAAAGCATAGTATTCTGTTCTTCAAGGAGTTGTGGGCTCAGATCTGTACAAAGATTGGAGGTAGCTGAATAAACGTGGTTGCAAATTATAACCTCCCAAATGTGTCCTGAGGACATGCCCAATCGGGCAGATTAGCAAATTGCCTGAACAATCTTGACTGTACCAGAAGTTGCACGCAGCTCATTTAATCTTTCATGGGTTGGAAACCCCCACACTACATACTAACACTTCTTCCTAAAGGCTTCTCCTGGTCTTATCAGCATCTGGGTAGGGGTGAGGCTGGAGTGATAGGTCACTCTGAGGTTGGGGTGGAGCAAAACAGTCCCGTGGTTTGACTTGGAATTCACTCAGTTGCTAGATGAGCATAGTGAGAGAACCAGTGAGCACAGGTGGTAGTGGTTCTAACAGTTCATTACAGGAGTCCGGGCGCGATGGCTCATGCCTGTAATCCCAGCACTTTGGGAGCCTGAGGTGGGCAGACTGCCTGAGGTCAGGAGTTCGAGACCAGTCTGGCCAACATGGTGAAACCTCATCTCTACTAAAAACATAAAAAAATTAGCTGGGCGTGGTGGCATGTGTCTGTAATCCCAGCTACTCGGGAGGCAGAGGTTGCAGTGAGCCAGGATGGGGCCACTGAACTCCAGCCAGCGTGAGACTCTATCAAAAAAAAAAAAAAAAAGCATATGTGCGATGCTCCAGGCACCCCGGCTAGCAGCAATGAAATTTCTAGTTCATGATGTTAGTACATGTTGGTCCATGTGCAATAGGAATCAAGTAAGATTCCACCCCCTAGAAGGCCTTATAATCTAAGGGGAAGGGGGTCAGATCCCGCTGGCAAGTAGAGGTTGAAGGTTTTGTAGCTTTTCATTGACTTTAACTCAGCCACATGGGACGGCCTGTGTGGTCTTTACGGAATTATCTATATTCAGGGTTACTTGTCCCACAGGTAAAGGCCACACCCTTTGGCTTCTGGGGACCACAAGAGAATGTTAATTTTTGTACCAGATTACACTGATCCAAATGCTGTTATGTTTTTCAGAAACTAGCCTTCATTAGAAACACAGCCAGGGAAGGTTCTCGAGTTTATGTTTTCAGGGGGCAAGAAAAGGCCTCTTGTGTGGAGTATGTATCTCATCAGGTCTATAGCCCAAAAATGGAACAAGCACACACAGCACACCTGCTGTACCTGTCAGGCCCTGGGAGGTGAGGGCATCGTCATGCAGAAAAAAGGTGCTACAGTCCTGCTCCTCTGATGGGGAAACTGAGGCTGAGAGGGGGCAGTCTTGAGTCACGGAGGCAGAAACCAATGGGGGTGGGATATAGAGGGGACAGAGTATCTTTTTCATGGTGTGTGTGTGTGTGTCTGTGTATATACACACACATACATATACATATATATATTGATCTTTTGAGATTCCCAGTTTTTGAAGCATTCACTTGGCTGATTCACCAATTCATAGAATGGAGGTAGAAATTAAACATATAATCCCTCCAGACTAGAACAGGACAAAGTTAAGGCAGAGGAAAGGCGAAGGGAGGTTAATTAGCAAGAGCAGACTGGGTGGTCAGTGGAGCAGCAGGGGCGGGCCGGGGGTGGGGGGACTGGAATGGACGGTGGGGCCAAGTGCACGCCTGTCGACAGGCCTTCCACAAATCATTTGGTCTTTCCTTTCTCAAAGAATTATACTTGCAAATTTATTCTTTCTGAATAAACGTCTGTGTACTTCTGGGCCTTCACCTGCTGAAGGATCCCATCTCGCCCCTTTCCTACGTGAAGCCTCTTTCACAGGTCTCTGCACCACTGCTCTTCTACATTGAAGAGCTGATGAAGTTCAGAGGGGTCATGCTCATTAGTGGTGGGGGGTGTCTGGGGTTGGGGTGGAGGACAGATGTTGCCAGGAATCCCCTCAGGGCCATTTGAGTAAAAGTGCTGCAGGTCCAGAGAACCTCAGAAACACAGATGACAGGGAGGTGAGCTTCAGGTCTTGTGCACAAATCTGACATCTGATTCTGGCCCCCAGACTCCTAAAGCAACCACCTTCAAGTGAAAGGGAGTGAGTCCTGACCGTTCTGTGGGACTGTCTGCTTTGTGTGTGCAGAATCAAAGCTCATGTCTGAAATTAAGAATTTCCAGCCTTCGTATTAGTCTAACATCAATTATTTAGATGTTAGAAATTAAAAGGACTTGTGTTTGATGGTCCCCAATGTTCACTTTTGAATTCAGAATTTACCTAAAACCCCCTAGGACAAATCTATTCCCATTCATTAAAAGCAGGCTCCATTTCATAGGTAATGAAAGCTATGAACCTTTGGTTTTGAGGTTCCACAATAGTAAAATTAGATACATTCGGGTACTAAATATCCAAATCTGCATACAGCAAGAGAAAAGTATTTCCAGAAACAAGTTTCTTTCATTCAGTTTGATATTTTGGTCTAAGCAGTAGTATGATAATTGGAAAACTTCCCGTCTTAAAATACGGATATTTTGAGAACGTGTTCAGTATTCATCTACGTATGTGAATAGGTGTGGGAGTATATCAAGTATAAAACAGCTAAAATAGAAATCTAAAATCTAATTCGGGTGTGTAATACTAAAACATAAAATTCTTCCATTGAAGCAATTACTATGTAGATGGAGATATTATACTGGGGGTTGGCAGGTTTATCATCACTTTTACTATTGCTTAATGAATTTAACGTTGATTGTGAAATTCAGAGAAAATTCCTTAGATGTCTTTAAACTACTCAACAAAGGCAAAACATATGCCATTAGCTAGAATTCTGATTCGCTACAAAATTGGGACTAAGGCTGGAAGTACTTTTAGGGTCTTGGTGCCTCCTCCTCCCCCTTCTATGTATAAAGCAGATGGGCTGCGTTCAGTTTTTAAGAGCTCCTCCCCTCCCCCGCTTCAGCTAACTAAGTGGTGGGGGAGGCTATTCAGGTCTCCACCTTATCCTTGTGCTTTGGTAGGAAAAGACAGACAAAGGAAGACAGAAGACAGACGCGAGATACAGGGATTGCTGAAACATGCAGAGAATTTTTATTTCTCACGAATGTTAATACTTATATTGACTTGCAGAACAGAGTCAGAGAGATGTGCAGGCCAAGGTATTAGTAGGGTTCAAGGGTTTAGCACGACATCTAGTACACAGTAGGTTGCTCACTAAGGACTTGTCATATTTTGCTCAAATGCCAACTTTTGGTACAGTAGATTGTCAATTAGTCATTTCTTATAGAGATGCCTTTTTGGATAGTTGTCACACTACATTTCTGCCAATTAAGGATTTCAGTCCATTTTTCGTTTTTTCAATCATCGTTTAAGGTAAGGTAGTAGGGGCCCCATCCCCCCTCCCCCCTCAGACAACAGAATAGTATTCTTATTAGAAGTTCCTAAGACCGAGCAATTCCAGCATGCAAATTGTGATAGGACATAGCCGGGAAGATGAGAAACTGTAGCCATCATCTAGGGATAATATATTCTAAAAGAAACAGATGAACAAACATGTGTCAGTTACTTTGTCCCCAGACCCCAAGATTTTTGCCCCTCCCCTCCCCGGCCACAGAAGCTGTTTCTTTGAGATGCCCTAAACTAAGTCAATGGTTCTGGATGTTCTCATGAAAAAGAGCCACTCCACCGCTGCATGCGAAACACGCAGCAGAGCTAGAGCGGTTACCTGGCATGCGTGTGTGTGCGCGCGGCGCGTGTGGCTGTGTGTGCGTGTGCGTGTGTGTGCGTGTCTGTGTATGCATGTACATGTGTGTGCGTGTGTGTATGTGTGATGGGTGTGGGGATGCAGGAAGCAAAGAAAAAATAATTTGATGATGAATGGAAAAATAAAAGATGCCATCATGAATTTCCTCATGTACTAGCTAACGTAAAGTGCCTTAGATTCAAATAAATTTGATCATTTTTAAAAGGCCAGAGGCTTTTCAAGATGATTCTTAACGACCTGCTGCAAGGTACCAAGGCATTTTTCAAAATTAAAGACGGTGCAGCATTGCATATTTTAATAAAGGAAAAAAATTTTGTTTCAAAGAGGTCTGAAATTTTAAAATCAGACCAACCAGTGGGTAGATGGAATTTAGTAGATAGTTTTAAAAACAAGTAGCTGGTTCAAATGGAGAGCTGGGGGAAAATAGAAACCATATGGAAAAACATCAATTCTCAAAATCCTAAATTGATCGTCTAAAGCTGAAATCTATAACTTTCCCCCAGCTGGATCTCATTCTACTTTAAGCATGGCCAAAAAAATTATGTTACGCACTTTACTTGCTCCAAAATGTCAGGAAATTGTGTGTTATTTGCAAATGCATGCCAATATGGCTGATGGTCCTTTAAATGACTTTTATTTTCTTCCCGGGTCTCTGGCCTCAGTTTCCCAGTATGATCTTCATGTTTGTTTTGTTTGTTAAAAAATTTTTCTGTTTTTGAATGTGCCTACCCATCGCTGTTGCTCCTTGCAGCCTGCGGGTCCTCTTCGCCGCCCCTTTTAAAGAGAGATTGAAAGCTCACCTAATCTGCAAGGCACCGCAATTTCACACAAACCCCACACAGTCTCTCTACATTCCTAAACAATCAGCCAAGAGCAAAAGCAACAATTCGCGCGCCATCCATCCTCCCGTTAATTCTTAGGTCGCCTTTCTGGCTAAATTGGAACGTCCACTGAGACTGCAGGCCATGGGGGAAGAATCCTACACGTTTGCTGCAGTATTAACAGAGCTCTCTGGAGACTCTGGTCGGACACAGGAGGGATGGATAATTATTTTCTTGTGCTTTCACTAAACGTACATGCATTAGGGAGCTAAAGCAGTGATTTATCTCACAATTCTTCTGAGAATGTGGCAGCGCATAAGGCTCCTAATTCTCCCAGGTCAGAATCTTCCCAATGTTGTAACTTAAGGCACAAAGGCATAGACGGGGGAGATTTCTGCCCAGGATTTCCTGCAAAACTAATGACCTCACTTCTTGCAGTGGAAGGAAACTACCTATAAAATGGTTTTATTTATAAATAATTGTTCCCCATAAGTTGTCATTAAACTATGTCTGGACTGTGATACAGCAAAAAAATAAAAATAAAAAAAAATTAAAAGAACAAAAGCCCACCCACTACCACCATAGAAAAAAGAAAAAGAAGAAAAAAAAAAAAACCCCAAACCCAATCTTCATAAACAGTAGGAATTCCTCCTTGAAGGCCGAAGGGCAGCCTTCTACAGTTTGGTAATTGATCAGCTTACTTCAACCAATGTTAATGGTGTTTATATTTTGGTTTTGTTTTGTTCCTGGCACTAAATGTAAGAAAAAGAGTTAGCTTTGAGTTAGAAAATCCACATCCAAACTCCGTATTTCTGAAGGTCAAATCAATATTATCTTACTCTTAAAAATTTAATCGGTATGGCAGCCCGCAGAGAGTTAAGGCAAATTTAATAGCTCAGCAGAGCCCTAACAAAACGCAAGATCAGGGAGGAAAAACCCTGTACCACACAGACCACCCTTTAGGGACAGATCTCACTGTGTCACAGGGAATTCCTAGTTAAGAAGGAAATAGCTTTTGTTGCAATACCGCAGTGAGGAAAAAGAAAAAAGGAGGCAGTTGGATGAGATAAAAATAAGGTATCTAGGCTCCCATGAGGAATACCCCTGCAAACCCTTTCACAGGCTAAATTTAACGTATCTATGCCCTTGTCTGCAGAGAAGGCAAACTGGGAATGTTGCTTCCTCTTTCCAAAAAGAAAACAGAAAAGAGAAGTTCTGGTTTAAAACCCTTGCCTGGTGTTACAGGCTGGCTCACTTAGGGAGGAGAATCCTTTCTATAAAAATTTTTAAATTTTAGGGCAATCTGTAGGGTAATGAAGCTGTTAGTAATTTATTTCAAAGGTGACTTAGCTTCTACTCGACTCAAAATAAGGTAAATAGTGGCTGCTGCATCTTTGAAAAATGCTAGCCATGTCCAGTTTTAATGAAAATATTTATCTAGAGGATACGTGGTCAAATTATTTTTGCTTAACTACTCTCATGAAGTACTCCTGCAAGCTGCAGGAGGGAAATTTATGCAAGATTTTTCTTCAAATGACAAAATTCATGGTTGGAAGTCTGTCTCCGGGTTTTTATTTATGGTCAGGATGGCAGTCTCCGTTGGCAGGGCTTTATCGAGGGGTGTGTCAAGAATTAAGAATTTCAGAATTGCTTGGTGACAAGTGATGCTAACTTACTCAATAGCACATATGTGCATGTTGATAAGCCACTGAGAGTCATAATCAGTTGAGTAAAGAAGCCCATCCTTCTGCATCCCAACCAATCCTTCTGAATTCAGGGTTAAAGTAGAAAAAGCATCCTAAACTAACATGACTATTTGTATGGGTGATGTCATCCTCCTCTAAACAATTATTTGATCTAACAAATTCTAGAATTCACCATAAGGAGCTGCCTGCCTTGCTCTGAAAGGTGAAAAAGTTCACGTTCGTTTCCCGGATGCTTAGTGACTAGTAAAGGTGTTTGTTTTTGGGGGGGGAGGGTGGGGGTGGGCAGGCATTGGTATAATTAAATGCTACCGCCTTGTCTCCATCTCCCCTTTTGAAATGGAAGCCAAAGCAACTCAAGGTTACATTTTCAATTGAATCCAGGTTTAAGAACGGGAACAGGACTGGGCTAACCAGCTAGTAATTACAAACTAGTGCCTTCAGGTGCTTGAAATCTAGTGAGCTTAACGCTCTCACACCAGTGAAAATAGACTGGTCAACTTAGTTTTTTCTGTTTTTTACACACTTTGTCACATGAGAACGATGGGTAGGCCCCAATCTGGGGTCTTGGAGAGAAAAGCAAGTTCCCCGATTTATTGAATGCTCCCTGTTTGCATTCCTCATGCCAGACAGGGCTTCCTAACTTGTGTCACAGGTCTAATATAAAGTCTCTCCCGTGTAATCTTCATTCCCGCTACCGGACTGCCACACTGCACTATACCAGGATACCTGGGAGGACTTTTCAAAAGCAAAAATGCCCCTCAGTGAGGCTGGGAGTGCCTAACTCCCAGTCTTTCCATCCTTTACATAAAAGTTCCCTTTTCTTTTCCTTAGGCAGGGGTACTGATTTGCTTTTTGTTTTAAAGAGAAACAATGATTTGCTCATAATGGTAATTTAAAGGGGGACAAAAAAAATTACAAACTATAAACACGGGCTGCCACTTCCAAATCTGTTTCTGGTGAGAATATTATGGAAACGATGTTTCCTAAAACATCCTGTGTTGGTTCATTACATTGAAATCTGTGTGGGGTGGGGTGGGGTGAATCTGCAGTGACCAGCATGGGCAGGACAAGGGGGCGGCCAAAGCCACATTGAAGACACTGCAGTGATGTCTGGAGGCTGTGGCAGGGACCTGGCCCAGAGAGGGGCTGTCACGGGGCCAAGTGCTGTCAAGCATCCCCCGCAACCAGGCATGATTTTCTTGGGATAGGGAGATGTTTGTCACAAACACTGGTGCTTTCATCAGTAGTATTTGCTGCACCAAAGACCCAAGGGGGGGGACCCTAAAGAGCCCTTCCCAGGATTTTCTAATATGTAAATCCAGAAAAATTAAGTGAAAACTGGCTGCCCAGCCCCCAAAGCCTACCTATACTTCCTAAAGGTTAGTATAAAGTCTGTTCCTCTTACTTGGTGCCCCTGCACAGATTTGACACTTACTCTCCATTAAACCCATTAACATGCAGGATCCTCATCTGCTTCACAATGGTGCTTTTACCAGATTCTCCAGCACCTAGAAAACGAAAGTAAGTCTCAGGTTATGAAGGAGGCATTTTAACACTTTGGGCAGGGAGGACCTGCTGCTGTTGTTTTCTTTTTCCATAGAAGCAACACACAAAAAACCAAACACAAAATCATAGACTTGCAACTTTTCTTGACATTTCGACGCAGAGAAAAGGAAATCAATGTCCAACTCAGTGTCTACCTGCAGTATTTCACCACCAAAATAACAAACAAGAATTCAGGGTTTGCTGGTTTTAGTTTTTTTCTTTTGATTGTTTAAAAAATTGTGGGGTGGTGATGGAAAGGGGCAAAGAGAAGGAATGACGCAATTTTGTCATTTGCGGGGTAAACAAGAAAATTGAAGTTAAAACTGTGAAACTGAATCCCTGATACATGAACATTCACACATAAACGTATCTAGACACACAATTCGTTGTCAGATGTTTCATGGTTAAAATACCCGGGATTCCCAACAATGCCCAGACGCTGCAGTCTCTTCCACATCACGTAGCGATGCAGCACTTTCCTTCTAAACATTTTCACAACGCAGCTTCTTTCTGTGCAGGTTTCCTACCCCTTGGGCTACTTAAAAATCCACCCCTAAAACTGCATTACATTTTATCCACTTAGCCATACTCCTCTTTCCTCACAAACTATATCTTTCTAAAGATAAATTCCCTCTGGGTACAACTATGTTGCTGAGGAAAAGGGGAGACCATCAATTATCTGTCATCTTCTGGAAAAACCACACTTTAATATCAAATACGGTTCTTGAGACCCTATTAGCATTAGGTAAACTGTAACCGTAAAAAGTAATACAAGAACAAAACTTTAATCAAAAGGAAAACTATCCCTGGGAACTACTGAATTTGAAAGATTCCAAGCCCTTCCCAACTCAAAGAGTAGAAACACATGCCTCCATTTTAAATCATCTTTCATTTGTAAAAATACATATATGTTTCATGGAAAAAACACATTTCCATCAAGCTAGAGGGAGGATGGTTATTTTGCATCTTCTTTTTTGCGATGCACATTCTCCAACAGATCATCTATGTGTGAATATTTTGCCCTCCTTCCACACACATCTGTTTGTTTTCACCCCTTTTTCTTTTTAACTTTTAATTGTATTGTTTTGTTTTAATGCCCAGATAGCAGAGCATTCCTCCTTCACTTGCCTTCTCACAAGCCCATAATCAATATCTGTAAAAGTCAAAATTAGTTTCTATGGAAAACATTGATTTCAAAGCAAACACTATCTTAATGAGCCTAACTTTGGTAAATTAAAAATACAAATGGCACTATTAAGAGAGGCCATGAAGAGAATACGTAATATTTAGCGGGATCGCTAATATTCTAATTTCAGAAGTGCTAAACTGTGTAACAGTTACAGGACGTATCTTTTACAGACAAAAACAGATCCGTGCCTCAGTCTCCACATTCATGAAATGTGGCCGAAAAATTATTTTAAGATCATTGTAAGTTCTCTAATTCACTTAATTTTTATGTCATTAAGATAGAGTAAAAAGAGGATTTGGGGCATTATTAGGTTTCCTCTTTTGAGGGGAGGCATTATTTGGTGAGAATCACCATTGAAAAATGCAAAATGTTGTGTCACTGGCTTAAGCTGCAGATTCCTGGGCCAGAGGCAATCAATACACCATGATGTAATGTAGTCATATAGACTAGGACATTTAGATTAGCCCCTGTGACGCAAGGTGTGTTCTGAGTAACAGTCTCAAATTAAGTGGAGACTTTGTGATCACAGCACAAAAGGTGTTGGAAATTTAAGATACCATTAGCATCACACTTGACTTAAATTAGTATTCAGATAGCATTCACAGAAAAGATTCTAGACTTTTCCAGATTTATACTTTGAAATCAAGTTATACACATAATATCCCAACAGCATAATTCTGCCTTTAAAAGTTTTAGACAAGACAGCAACACATGTACCATTTAATTACTGAAATTGCAAATGCATAAACATCAAAGACACTTATTTTCACTTAATTAGTATTTTTCTTCTTTTATAAATCTGGACCCAGGAGAACAAAGTCATGACCTATCCAAAAAGAGCAAAGCAAAAGCCACCAAAGGAAAAAAACAACAACAAAAAACGGCCTTTTATATTTTCTTCTTTCTACTCAAGCTGTTTTGTTGAAATGTGACCACGAACTAGGTCTTAACCTAGCAAATTCACAAATTTATTCAGATAGCCAAATTATCAAGGAAGTGGAAAACTTCCATTTTTAATTAATGCTGTGTAATTCTTTTGGTCATTTAAAATTTTTTTCCCCCCAAAACAGCACCTTAAGGAAAAAAAAAGGAGGAAAGGCCATCTCCTTATAACCTTTTTTAATTTAATTTTATTTTTTTGCCAGAGGAAAAATCGCAATCAAAAAAAAAAAGAAAAACCCAAAACCAAACAAATAAATATCATTTGATAAACAACTAATTAATGTCTTTTTATGTCTTCCCACCTGGAGGAAGTCTTCTCCTTACAGCACTCTCAATCCCCCCTCCCACCTTGAAAAGGACAAACCCCCCCCCCCAAAAAAACCACGCCATTTCCAGACCAAGAAGCCATTTACAGACAAATGTCATTCTCCAGTTTTATCTGATTTGTGAATGCCTTTGTTTTTTCTTTACACAAAGCACTCTCAATGTGGCCAGCCAGCAGAAAAATGTGTTTTTTAATGGTTTATTAAAATAGTGTTGGGGGGGCGCTGGTGGTGGGGGGGGGCAGCTGCTACAATTAATTCTCCGCTCTGCTTTTGAAAAAGCCTGCAAGTCTGGAAGGGGAAAAAAAGGTCATACTGTAAAATGACGTGTCATTTGGCTTCACTGGGCACTTCTCGTACTAACTCTATCCATTTTTTGGTGGTGGGGGGTGGTCTTATTTTATTTGACTCTCCTTCTCCTCCTTCCACCGCCCGGCCTGGCCCGGGACACGTCTGCTCCGCGCACACACAGTCGGTCCTGCCCGAAACGCACCAAGTCGCGCCCAGCGGCAACCGCCCTCCCTCCTCCCCGCCGCCGCCCCCCCGGCGACCCGGCGCACGACTCCTTTGCGCCCCTCCCCCCACTGCACCCCTGACCGCGTCGCCTGCCGGAGGGCTGAT